ACGGGCTGGGCGCGCCTGCTCGCCGGGGCGGGGCCGGCGGGGCCGGGCTCCGCAGAGCCGTCCGGGGTGCGCGCGTCCCGGAAGGTCGGTGCTCTGGGGTGCGCGCCGAGGCCTAGGAGGCGGGAGCGGGCTGCAGGGAGGCCTTGCGGGCTGGCGAGCGGCCCGGGCCGCGTGAGTCACCAGGCCTCTCCTTTCCGCCCTGGGCCGGAACGGTGTGCGGGCGCGCTGTGCGGGCGGCGGGAGAGCGGGGTGGAGCAGCGGCCGCCTAGGCGCTGAGGGTGTTTGGACTCCTCCCGAACCGAGCTGTTGAGGAACTGGAAAGCCAGAAGCCTTAGGACATGTGGGAATCCTGGCCCCCGCCGGCCTTTAAGACTTTGCACAAGGTTTTAATTGTTCTGCTCCACTATCCAGCGATTTTGAGGTAAAATAGTTATGCAAAAAGCATTGCTGTCTCTCTCGCGTGCCACTTTTTTTTTTTTTTTTTTTTTTTTTTTTAAGTCAGAATCTCACTCTGTAGCCCAGCTTGCCTGGAACTCAAGGTAACCTGCCTGCTTCAGCCCTCCAGGGCTAGGATTACAGGCATGAGTCACCACACCCGCACATTGTCGTAACTCTTCAATTGGCCTGGTGTGTCCCTCTTTTTTAGGATCATGTCCTAAAGTATGATAAGGAAACTAGAAATATGATAACGTTCCCAGAAAGGTCTCTCTCTCTCAATATATATATATATATATATATATTATATATTTAACTTCTGAGACTGGCTTTATGGATCAGGCTGGCCTTGAACAGCTCAGACATTGTTCTGCCGCTGCCTCCCGTGAGTGCTCAGATTAAAGGAATGTTCCATGGGGCTATATATATGTGTATTCGTATATATATGTGTATATAATTTATATATGTATGTTCACAAATATATTTTACATATATATGCTTTAAATGGCCCAGGATCTGATTTCTAAGTTACAAATTTCACAAAGTAGTCAGGCTTTGGTGCTGCTTACCGGGAACCTCAGAACCTGAGAGGTGGGACCAGGAGGATTGAGTTTAAGGCCAGCCTGGGCTACATGAGACACCCTTTTTTTCTTTAAAACAAACAAAAACGAAGCTATAAGAGAATTTAGTTTTACCAACACACACACACACACACACACACACACACAGAGAGAGAGAGAGAGAGAGAGAGAGAGAGGTGCTTGAAAAGGTCCAATAACATCCTTTAAGGCAGGCTACCAAATGGTGCATTATTAGTGAAATCACCCCAGAGCACACTGGCAGTTTGGTAAAGCAAGTGTTGTACTTATGACATCGTTCATCCATTATGTGACTTTATAGTCATCTACTAAACAAGGACGAGAAATTCTTAGTTCTTACAATGTTTTGTAAATGTGAAGTGACAGCCTAGACCAGTTATGTTGCATTCGTTTACCTCAGTGTGCTCTGAAGCACCAGTGCAGCTTGTGTCTAACCTTACTTTCTGAGAAAGTGATAACCATTAATTATATTTATGTTGTGTTTTTTAGGAAAAAGGTTCTCTGGCCTGCACTGTGACTTTGGCTTGATGTGAAAAAGATTAAGGTACCAAATTTCCTTTTCACTTGATAATATTATCTCACCGTATGATTTTACATTCTAAGAAACAACACATGCCACCCAGAACCTGAAGTTTCAGAAGAATAAAACCCTCAAAGTTTTCTTTACTTATCTAAAATATGTATATTTGTTCCATGTAGCCTTAAACTTGACTGCTTTGTAAAATCTATGAATTATTTCCAAACTACAGTTTAATTATTCATAGTCATTTCCATTTCAAAAAGAGACCAAAATTTAACTTGAAAAGAATTGAGTCTTTGATGGCATTGAACAAAGACAAATTGGTTTTTTGCCTTTGAGGTTGATAGACTTTTCCTTGCTATTTTATAGTCTTGCTCTGATCCAGTGTTCTTTTATACTTTCAAGTACTTGAAAAAAGATTAGAAGAATGTTGGAATTTAGAGATAGCGTATAAATATATGAGCAGAAAGCATTTGAAGATTTTTTTCAAACTCTTTGAAAGGGTTGTATACATTTTCTTTTTTCTTTTTTTTTTTTTTTTTTTTTTTTGGTTTCTCAAGACAGGGCTTCTTTATGTAACCTTGACTGTTCATGACTAGCTTTGTAGACCAGACAGACTGGCCTTGAACTCATAGTGATCCGCCTGCCTCTGCCTCCCTGAGTGCTGGGATTAAAGACATGTGCTACCACACCCCGCTACATTCGTTTCAATGGAATCATTCAGTATATGATCTTTAATGGCTATCTTGTTTCACATGACATGTTTTAAAAGTATATCAATGTAGCATGCATCACTAGTTCATTGCCTGATTGTATTATTCCTTGCTTTTTCTTTTATGAATTATCACTAAGCTATAACCACAATGTCACTTTTTTCTTTTTCCCCTTTTGAGACAAGTTTGTGTGTGTGTGTCCTGGAGCTAGTTCTGTAGACAAGGCTGTCCTTGAACTCACAGAGATTCACCTCTGCTGGATTAAAGGCCTGCTCCACTACTGCCTGACAACTGTCACTATTTTTTTTTTTTTTTTTTCTTTTCTTTTGAGACAGGGTTTCTCTTTGTAGCCCTGGCTGTCCTGAACTTACTTTGTAGATCAGGCTGGCCTCAAACTCATAGAGATCCACCTGCCTTATTCCCTGAGTGCTGGGATTATAGGTGTGTGCTACTACTACTTGGCAACTGTCCTATTTTTTAAATTATTTGGTCACTGATAGACTTTTGGCTTATTTTGAACAATTAGGAATAATGTTATGAACATTCTTATACACGTTTTTGTACAAAGTACAGATATTTTTCCATTCTCTTCTTTGTTTACTTGGGAAGGTAATTGGGCTGTGTGTTAAGTTTGTGTTTACCTTTTGGAGAAACTGTCAAATTGTGTTCTATAGTATCTACACTGTTGTAATTCCCATTGTCCTTGTAAATGGGTTCCAGTTTCTCTCCTCACCAGTGTGTCTCTGTCTTCTTGATTATAGCATCTAGTGGGTGTTAAGTGGAATCATTTCCCCATCCTTGAGTCTGAAAGTCTGATAATGCTGAGCTTGAGCATCTTGCCGTGTGCTTACTGAACATTGCTTTGCGGACATGTGCGTTCATATCCTTAAAGTTTGATTATTTGTCTTTCATTGCTTTTACCTTCTGCCCACTTTGTACATAGGATCTTTCTATGTAGCCCTGGCTGTCCTGCAGCTTGCTATGTGTACCAGGATAGCCTTGAACCTTCAGAGGTCTACCTGTCTTTGCCTCTTGAATGCTGGAATCAAAGGTATACACCTCATACCTGCCTCCTTCCTTCCTTCCTTCCTTCCTTCCTTCCTTCCTTCCTTCCTTCCTTCCTTCCTTTCTTTCTTTCTTTCTCTCTCTCTCTCTTTCTTTCTCTCTCTCTTTCTTTCTTTCTTTCTTTCTTTCTTTCTTTCTTTCTTTTTCTCTCTTTCTTTCTTTCTTTTTCTCTCTCTCTCTCTTTCTCTTTCTCTCTCTCTCTTCCTTCCTTCCTTCCTTCCTTCCTTCCTTCCTTCCTTCCTTCCTTCCTTCCTTCCTTCCTTTCTTTCTTTTTCTTTTTCTTTTTCTTTTTCTTTTTTTTAGACAAAGTCTTATTTCATAGCTTAGGTTTGGCTAGTAACTTACTGTGTAGCCCAGTCTACAGCAATCTTCCTACCTCAGCCTCTTAAGTACTAAGCATACAGGCATGGGCCTTGATGCCTGGATTGTACTTTTATTTGTTTATTTTTTGAGACAGGGTCTCAGGTAGCATAGTCTGGCCACAGACTGACCTTTTAGCTGTGGATGACCTTGTACTCCTGATTCTCTTTCCTCTTCCAAGTGCTGGTATTGCAGGTATGGGCCACCTCACTCAGTTTCCTTTTATTAAAGAATGATGAGAATTTTTTGTTACTCTGGCTGTAAGTCCTTTGTCAGATATATGTTTACAAGTGTTTTTTTTTTCCGTTCCAAGTATTATCTTTCCTTCATGTATGATGTGAAATGTTTTAATTAAAATTTTATTGTAATTGTGTGTATAGGGGTATGCCTGTTGCAGTGCGTAAGTAGAAGTCAGAGGACAAGTTTCAGGAGTAGGTTCTCCTTCTACCATGTGGGATCTGGGGATCCATTTAGGTCATCAGGCTTGGCAGCAAGCATCCACTGAGTCACCTCACTGGCCCTCGTTCATGTTTATATCAGCACCACCCTGTCTTGATTACTGTAGCTTGTTTTTTTGTTTACAGACAAGGTCTCATGTAGCCCATGTTGGCCTCAGACTTGCTGTGTAACTGAGGCTGGTCTGCCCCAACTTCTGAGTGTTGGTTTATAGGTGTCGCCCTCTCTCCCTCTTCCTCCCTTCCTCCCTCCTCCCCCTCCATCCCTCTTCCTCCTTTCCTCTCTCCCTCCTCCCTTTCTCCTTCTTCCTTCCTTCCCCCTCTCCCTCCCTCCCTTCTTCCTCCTTTCCTCCCTCCCTCCTCCTTTCCCTCCCTCCTCTTTTCCCTCCCTCCTCCCTCTTTTCTTCCTTCCCTCCCTCCTCTCCCTCCTTTCCTCCTTCCCTCTCTCCATCCTTCCCTTCTTCTCTTTTTCCCTTTCCTTTCACTATAGCTTTGTTCTATACTCCAACCTTGTTTTTTTTTTGTGATTGGTTCTATGCCACTTGAATTTCCATATGAATTTTAAGATTTTGTTTATCTCTATAAAGAATTCAGAATTTTAATGAAGATTATGTTGAATCTATAAATAAATTTGGGACAGTTCTGAAAAGTTATATGAGAATGGAATCCTGAAATTTGGTAGAATAACAGAACTGCTGTGCCAGTGGTGAGCATCTTTCAAACTGAGCACTTTAGTATCAAAAATTGAATTACAAATCATAAAGACTGCAGTAATATGTTTTGGATTATATGTCTGTACATATCTTACTTAAGTGTTTTTGTATAATTACCTTTTAAGGCATCAGTATCATTCTAAAATAAAATGTGTAGTAAACTTAATAAAAATACAATTTGACTTTCTTTTGTGTGTGTGTGTGTGTGTGTGTGTGTGTGTGTGTGTGTGTCCCTATTTACCTGTAGTCAGGATGAACCAGAACTTGATGTCTGTCTGTCTTAGCTTTCCAGGTGCTGAAACTGAAGTCTTGCATCATCATTACTAGTTTGTACTCCTTTAGGCAAATTTACTGCTAAATAGTTTATTTTACTATTTTGTGACATGCTCTCATTGTATAGTGCAGGCTGACCTTGAGTTTGATCTGCAGCATAGGCTAACTTTAAACCTGAGATCCTTTTGTTTCTTCCTCCCAAGTATTGGGTTTATAGGTACATGCTGCCATGCTTGGCTTCCTTTATTCTTTTAAATGTTTTTGAGATTGGTCCCAAGTAGCTTATGCTGACCTCAAATTCATATGTGGCCTAGGTTGGCCTGAATTTCTGACTTGCTGGTTTTTGCTTCTCAAATGCTGTGATTATGCCAGACAGGTGCCACCAACCAGACCTAGGCTTTTTGATGTGTTTTAAATGGAATGTAGAAAATTAAACTTCTATTTGCCCTAGAGGTCAGAGGACAACTTGCTAGTATTTATTCTGCCCTTCCATCATGTGGGTCTTGGGAATTGACCTCATATCACCAGGTATCAAGCACCTTCATCTGCAGAGTCACTAGGCAGCTGGTTTTTAACTGCTTATACCCCTGCTCCTGAAAATATTAATCATAATAGTAATGATTATAGCTAAAATTTATTAAGCTTTATTGTATTTCAGTAATCTGGTGTATATTCCACTTTTTCCCCCATCTGCTCTTTTGCCTTCCCTCCTGAATAAAAAATGAAAAAAAAAAAAAGGGCATGACTTCTCCCAAAGCATGGAGGAGATTTTTGTTGTAAGTATAAGGGAGAAAGCTGGCAGAGGAAAGAGTCCAGGCTGAACATGGCAACAGACTAAAGTTGACCATGAGAGGAGAGTGGAGGAGAGAGACCAAGAGTGAAGCCACCAACCAAGAAGTGGCCTGGGCCAAGAGACCAAGAGACCCTCATAGCCTGGCTAGATTATATAGGGATTAGGATGGGGGAAGGGAAGCAGAAGCCAAGCTCCTGGGAGGGAGCGGTTTAGGATAGGGGCCTGGGTGAGAAGTGCTAGAAGGAGCCACAGGTACTGAGTGATGCTGAGAGAGCTGGCCAGCATCTGTGTTGGCACTTCACCTTGTTTCTGAGACCTAACACCTGTATTCTCCTCCCTTTCTATTCCATTTCCTTCCTGTGTATTAGTGAAAACCTGTGAAAAGGAGGAATATGGGGATCTGATACAAATGTCAATGATGTTAGTTGGTTTTTTCGAAAGTAATTTAAAAAAAAAGGTTTGTTACTATCTTTTAGCACATAAAAATCCTAATAATGTCAAATGATAGGGTCTCACTTTTTATAGGCCCAAGCTGGCCTTAATCTCCAACAAGCCTTAACTTGAGATTCTCCTTCTGTGTTTTATAGACATATAATACCAGCAAGTTTGCTTTTATAGAGGATCAATTAGTAAATAGAGCTGTTGTTGAAGG